TTTATCCAGTGTAATTAACATACAGTGTTCTGTCAATTTCAGGATTACAATATAATGATTGGGCATTTGACTTATAATTTAAGTAAATACAGTATTACTGCTTTAATTTTTATAAAATGTCATTTAAATCTATCAAACATAATGAAAGAGCGAGGGTCTCCTGCAAGACAACACCAGGGACCGTGAAGAATTGGTAGAATTTGGGGGGAAGGAGGTGAGGACACTGTCCCCATAGAGGAGAATAGCAAATACGAGTATTCAGAGCGAGAGGGTAGAACAAGTGTATTTTCGGGATCCTGAGACCATCAAAACTGGAGTGGAGACTGGGAGCGGGATTTGGAAATGTGGTTTGGGCCTTATTAATGGGTACTTTGGAAGACAGTTCAGAAGACTTTACTCTTAATTTGGAGGGCGGTGGGGTGAGGGTAGAGGCCAATAAAGATTTTCCAAAAAGAGCTGTAACTGAGGATGATAATGTGGTAGGACATTTTATGTCAAGTCTTTATGCATGAGGAGTTAGAGGAGAGGCACTCAGATGTGCGAAAAGTATCGATGTTTCCAGACGGGTCCATGCAGCCATTCAGTCAAAAAACAACCATCCGTTCATTCAACAGATATTTATTAGGCCCTTTCTCTGGATGTCAGACATGGTAAGAGTAGCTCAGAAGATATAAATATAGGGGCGCCTGGGGGGCTCAGTCGGTTAAGCCTCTGACTTCTGCTCAGGTCATGATCTCACGGGTTGGTGGGTTCAAGCCCCACATCAGGCTCCGTGCTGACAGTGTGGACAGCCTGCTTGGGATTCTCTCTCTCCTTCTCTGTCTCTGCCCCTCCCCTGCTGGCACATGTGCTCACTCTCGCTCTCGCTCTCACAATAAATAAACAAACTTTAAAAAAAAAAGAAAATATAACTATAAATACCACATGGTCTCTGCTATTCAGACTTTCAAACCTCATGATAATGGCACGATCTTAACTGCTAACAGCTTTCATCGCTCCTTCTAATCCTTTCTTCAGGAGCCAGAATGTTGATTCAAAAGTGCAAATCTGATTATATTAGTCCGTAGTCCGCGCTTAAAATCCTTTGGTAGCATGTTTTGTTACCTTCCCCTCCAGCAACATGTGTTGCTGTAACCATCTCTCCAACCCTGGCTTTCACTCCTCGACAGGTCTCAGAACAAATCGCTTCCTCCCAGGGGTGCCTGGGGGGCTCAGTCGGTTAAGCCTCTGACTTCAGCCCAGGTCATGATCTTGCGGTCCCTGAGTTTGAGCCCCGTGTCGGGCTCTGTGCTGACAACTCAGAGCCTGGAGCCCGTTTCAGATTCTGTGTCTCCCTCTCTCTGTGACCCTCCCCCGTTCATGCTCTGTCTCTCCCTGCCTCAAAAATAAATAAACGTAAAAAAAAAAAAAAAAAATTCTTTTTAAAAATAAAAAAAAAATTGCTTCCTCCCAGAAGTCTTCCCGGATGCCCCCAGGGTGTGAGGGGTGCCCTGCCCCGTGTGCTACCACGCACTTCTGATATCATCATATTTTTCTCACTGTATCGCAACTGCCTCTTCAGTCGTTTATCTCCTTCCCTGAACTGTAATGTGAATAACTAAATAAGCACATAGGTGAAAGCCACTCGGATGATGCAGCCGGAGAGATTCGACTTTACATGGGAAAGAAGCAAGCGTTTTCTGTTGTTCACAGAGTGGCACGAGGGCTAATCCTCCCTAGTCACCTCTCTGATTCAGTAGCAAATGGGGCCGAGATTGTAGGTGGCGGTGGAGTTGGAATGGCTGGTTAGCAGATAACAAGTCGAGAGGAGGGTGGTTGCTATGACAACCTGTAAGCTTATCAAATACCACAAGCCCGTCGTGCCCTGGAAAAACCCAGATTTGAATGGGTGTAAGATCTGCAGGTCCCAACTACCCGGCCCAAATAGTTTTTTGTGTTTTTGTGGTTTTTTTTTTTAGAACCCTAGAATGCTAAGGCGGGTACAACTTTAGAGATTTTTTTCCTTTTTGTACTCCTTGTTGTAGAAATAAATTCCAGAGAAGGTCAGTGGTCTGTCCAGTCACACATAGCAAATTATTGGAAGAGCCGAGGTAGGAGAAAAAAAGAGTCTTTCTACACCCCCTGAAGTGTTACCATTTCGTGATTCCCAAAGATGTTGGATTCTTTCACCGATACGTCAGTCACCGTGGGTTTGCACACTTTCTCAGTATGTTCAATTTTTCATTCTACTCCCTCAAAACTTCACGCGTCCATCCACTCATCCGTTCACTCCTTCAACCAGTCGGTCTCGGGGAATGTTACTCCATATCTCATCCTCCTAAGCGGTACAGAAAATAGGAAACTCTCTAAAGCTGTGTTCTTTGGCCCTCATTTGATTTTGCTATGAAATGGGGAAAACTGAATTTTTTGCCTGGTACCAAAGTATCCCCCTACAGGTTACTTGCTGTTTACAAAGAGGCAAGTGTAACTGTATGGGATGTGATCAGGCTGTCACCACGTCGACCCAGGGATCAATCTGACCAGCCGTCACAGTGGGACAACCAGACATGCATCGCAGGTGCCCCGTGATGATGCTAAATGATAAATAAATTTATGATCATTAAATACACCATCACCTACAAAATATTCCTGCCAAATATTTTAACCTGGGCCCAATCAGGTTTAGACCCTATCTGAAGCTACAGAAAGTACGGAGGATAGAAAACAAGCTACACTAGACCATGTGGAAGCCTTCAGAAATATCCAGGAGGTCCAACATTGTATGGACCGCTCCCCATTTCCTTCGGCAAAGGCAATGCCCTGAGGAAAATAAGAATAAAGTGAGAACTCAAGACTTAAGACACACGGTGCGCGGTCCTTGACTGCATGCTGCTCTGAACATACCAACCATAAAAAAAAAAAAA